GAGTCAAGTGTGGTAAAGCTAAGTGTCGTAGAGTCAAGTGTGGTAAAGTCAAGTGTACTTGACTCCACGTATTCTCTATGTATTTTCTCTGCGAGGCTCCGCACGGAAGAACCCTTCGCGATGCTTTCGGGAAAACAAGTAATCAATACATCGATAAATAACCACATGTGTATATATATATATATATATATTATATGTATTCTAACATGCTCCTTGATGCCGAGAAGCAAAACGCCTATTTGTAGAGCAGGGACAGACACATAAAGCCCTAAAGCCTTAAGCTTAAAACCCTACCTCCTAAACCAGAAAAACCTTAAACCTTAATCCTCAACCCTCGTGGATTTCGGGTTCGGGACGAGTTATCCTAAACCCTAAACCCTAAACCCCCAGAGTGCAGCATTGTGGGCCAGGCTCGTATACCTTTGGCTTCGGGTAGGGTGTTTACAGCTTCGGGTTCTGGCTCTGAGCTCCACCTCCCAAATTAGCCATTGGGTTTAGGGTTTAGGGGTTTAGGGTTAAGGGGTTTAACGGGTTTAGGGTTTAGGCTCAACATTGGCATATGATCAGCAACATATACTGACATGGATATGGTACGGTTTAACAGAGCGCAGTAGAGTATAACACAAACGGATCACTGAGATCACATATTTAGTGCCATTTAGCAGAAACAAGTTCAGAAACAAGCCAATCTGTGAACTCGGTTCTCTTCAGACCGGCCAGCCTCGTTGTCGGATCCCTGTGACGCGTCCGCCATGCTGAAACTGGAACCTGCACTAAAGAACCGCATGACCCGGTCATAAGCGTGTAAGTACGGGTTTGTAAGGTTCAGGGGTTCAGGGCTTGGGGATTGGGGGCTTCACAAGTTTCAGCATATTCCTGGGTTGGGCTTGGAGGTCCCAGGGCGAAGGTTTAAAGGATGAATCAAAACCTATCGGTGGAGGAGGGGGAAAAGGTCCCAGAGTGTCTACTTACCAGGAACTGGTTTCCAAAATTTCGGAATCATTCAGACCGCGCCGACTTTGGGGTCAAAGAGACAAGTCGTAACCCTGTAATGGCGTTATCTAGGTCTCCCCCCGAAAGTCTCTGAACAGAGTTGTCTCAATGCCCTGCCGGATTTTATCTGTAAGCTCTCGGACGGGAGGGCTTTGTGTGTGAGCACGAACCTAATGTAGGGGCTGAAGAATTACCAACACTCTTTTGGGGTTCCGAAGTAGTATAATGGGCCCCAAAACCCTATTCTAATTCTGAAGGCCCCTATAGTACCTTTGGATGAACCGCCCATCGGCATCATAAGCTGTGACAAACGGAATGCCAGGGCTGGAGGGAGAGCATCCTCAAATCTGTAGTAGCCTGAATACTTACCAACATCATTCCGAATCATTCCTTGAATATTCACAGTATACTCTAAAATTAAAAGATGTATTCTATCTATCTAGGCTCGCTGGGTGGAAACAGCGCATGAGAATGAACCTGCATCACCGAACCTGCATAGTACTGTGAATGCTTTCGCGCGTGAAGGGTCATGCAGGATTTGTATCGTGGAGCGGGCATGAGTCGCTCAGAGATGAGATTTATGATGCAGAGGACGTATTACTGCTCTTGCTCGGCAACCTGCGCTGCAGGTTCTATTTTAAAACTTTTCTTTTAAACTACTTGGAGGATCATGGGACTTAGTAAGTAAGGTTATAAGTCCCTTAATTGGGGTTATAAGTATAGTTACCCTAATTATAACCCTACTTACTAAGTCCCATTATCCTTTAAGTAATGGCTTCCCGGCATCCGAGTGCAAGGACGGCACTCAAGGTACCGGCTCTGCAGGATTTGTATCGTCATCGTTCCCGAAGGCAGATGGCGGCAGCTGTGCGGCAGGTGCAGGATGCAATGGCAGTTTCCAAAGTTTCCAAACAAATGGGTCCGCCCCCACGTCCGCGTACCGCACGCTTCGGGTTTGTGCCAGCCTCTGTGCGTCTTGATGCGCGTTTGGACGGATGGAGCTATTTGCTGATACCGTTCTCAACTTGCTGGCACGGTACGGTCCACCAGCTTCTGTGCCGGCTCGGTCTTCTATCGCTGATGAGTCTGCGGCATCCCCTTAAACCCGCCGAAAAAGACCTCCCCCAAACCTCAAAAGGCCCTCTCTCTCTCTCTCGAGAGAGAGAGCCATTGAAAAAGGGGAGACGAAAACAGCAAAACGAGCCCTCGCACCCCTCCAAACCTTCCCGAACACGGAAGCTCCCGGTACCCCTCCAGCCCCACGCACCAAAACCTACTTGGAGGTTCATGGGTAGTTATAAGTGAGGTTATAAGTCCCCTGATATGGTTTATACTTATAGTTACCCTACTTATAACCCTACTTATATCTACCCATGAACCTCCAAGTAAGCCCCTAAACCCCCAAAGCCCCTATGACTACACAGCTCCTCAGGCCCAACCCGGATGCCTAGGGCATCGCTTGCCCCGGCATGGCGCTTCGGCGCTGAGAAATGCCGGCAGCACGGGAATTGCTAGGCCCTGGGACCATGGGTTGAGGTTTTTCGGGGTTTGGGGTTTAGGGTTTAGGGGTTTAGGGTTTAGGGTTTAGGGTTTAGGGCTTAGGGGTTCAGGGGTTTAGGGTTTGGGCTTAGGGTTTTTTGGGTTTACGGTTTAAGAGTTTGAGACTTTGGGTCAAGGCATCCTACACCCTAGCTTCGCTGACAGGATGGCTTGATTCGGGTTTACGGTTTAGGCCCTAGCACCGTGCATATCCCAAACATCCACGCGAGAGTCCACTTATACTATAGGGGGCCTCAGTAACTGCCTACACTATATTGGGGTTCCTTAATGTAATTATAGTATAATATACCCCAAAACCCTAATTTAATTAGTAGCCCCTATATCAAAGCTCAGAAACCTTTTCACAGCCTGAGCCGTCGTTGCATGCAATGCATTTCTGCATGTTCTGGAGCCTTCTGGGGGACCTCTCCAGGAACTAACCGGGAGGTCTCCAAGCTTTAGGGTGTCGGGATAAAGTGTGGGATTACTGTGTTTCTGAACAAAAGCAAGCTTGCTGAAATAGATCGGACTACTTGTAGCCTTTAGCTTGAAGGCTAGTTCTAATGTATCAGCTTCTTCAAGACGTCCTTGGGCTTTAGGAAGGCTTTTGGTGCCATAAACATAACGAAACTCGAGTTCTAGGGGCCAGGGTTCCTGTCGGAGATCACCCCCAGTCGACCTGACATGATTCCCTGATGCCGATCGGCCAGGTGTCTGAGCAAAGTTCGGGTTTAGGGCTGATACGTGGATCTTTCGCACCGTTTAATCCGGAAACT